TCTAATTTTCAGCATGACACACACACACACACACACATGCATAAGCATACAAATTTAACGATAATTAAAAACGTGGCAATGCATTAATAAGGTAATGATTTACTTCACGCACAATTCAACCATTTATGACGCGGCTGTCAAGTGGAGTGCATGTTTTAGTGATAACAACAGGAACAACAACAACGCACATGTTTAAATGTTCACATATGTATATACATATTCGTATATGTATTGTAAATATTAAAGCAAAGCTCATTATTTGCTGGACCCAAAAGTAAAGCGCAATTGTTTATGCACATCGCCATTGCAGTGTTTGTTTGTATGCGTGTGCGCATATTTACATACATTTGCATATACTCGTATGTATGTACGAGTATGTATAGATATTATCCATTGCACAATTACTTGCTACAGGCTTACAGCTGCGGCTTTAAAACAAATACACACAAACATTTATACGGAGAAAATGCATATTTCATGACAATCTAGACAATATGAATGAGTGTGTGTGTGTGTGTGTGCTCGTGTGTGTATGTGTGCGCGTACAACTGTCGTACTCATAATTTATTGTTGCTGTCGAATGCTATTATGGTTTTAGCTGCATTGTGCTTGCGTATGTATGTGTGTTTTTGTATGGGGAAATAGTAAACAAAGTTATAAACAAGTATATATGTACATATGTATACACGTATATGTAGATACATACATATATACACAATTATATTCTGCTGAAATGCATTTAGATTGCGCAACATTTGTTCATAGGTATGTGCGTATTAAAGTTAGAATGTATGTATGTGTATGCAAGTAGGTATGTATGTGTAAATATGTCTATTTAAGTAAACTAATTGCAAATTTCGCATTATTTGCTTTCACATTAGGAGCGCATGCAAATGTCCATATATGCATATACTTCTGTGTGTGTATGTGTGCGCGTGTATGCCTATATGCTAATCAGTGGTGGACATACTCAAATATGTACATACATACAACTGTATATGTAGATACATACATATTAAGAAACATGCATAAATTATTTATATGTATGTGTGTGTTCGTGTGTGTAGGTATGTGTATACTCTTGCAAATGAATGCAAATTAGTAAAATGCCTTACGCCTAAATTTATGCAACTAAACTGAAATGTCAATTGACAACCGGGCTGCAGGCTACGGTCTTGGGACGTAGCGGTAAATTGATGTGGCGGTTAACTTGTGGTTTTTTGAATTGATATGGTGAGTGAGCCTGCCTTACTGTGCTCTTACTAGTCGCCGTGTTCTTTATAAAAAAATTTCCTGCCGAGGAGCCATCGCAATTAGAAAATTTAACTAAATATTTTATTTAGATTAATTTCCTGTAACTTTTGGATATTGGTTGAACCAGTACCGAACCCAAGCCTTTCGAATGGCCGTATGCAATGCTAACCAATTTGTTGTTTTTGTTTGACTCAAATGAAACATATCACAACCAGATGCAAACCCTCTAGCCACTATTCAAACTTGACTTCGGTCAAAAGTGCCAATGCATCCAAATCGATAAGAAAGACCGAATTCTAGTGAATAATTTGTCCTTAGTCAGCTTGAGACGATATCTCGAAATATGAACTCAAGTTCTGTTTTTGACACAAAGTGTTTAAAACGCCCTGCATGAAAATACAGATGGATTCACCAATACAATTACATGATTTCGTGCAGCACTAACAACTTGTTTATCTTTCTCTTCCGACCGCATACAAATTGAAAGAGACTGCATATAAACGGATTATCCGTTTTATTTTATGTTCTTATTTTCAAATGGAACGCCATTTCTATCCTTTGTAGCAGATAGATGTGGGGAAATATAGATAAGGATCCTGTACAAGCTTTGGTAACAAAATAAATTGTCAAATAATTAACTACTTCACTTGTGATTGCTTTTTAAATTTATTTCATTTAAAGGCACTGGGAGGGACGTTTTTCACCTTTCAGCAGTAGCAGATCTAAAAATATTCAACTGAACTTTGCGAGGTATAACTTAATTTAGATGTTAAAGACATTCTGGTTCATACAATAATATTTTACTTAAATACCTTTAAACTTCAAAGAAGTCCCGATTATGAAGGAGGCATTCGTAAGGATTAGAAGCTGCATCATCAACGCACGTCACTATTAAAGACTTCTGCTAGCAATAGTTTGCTGATTTTTGAAAATGAATTTATTGTTGGTTTCTATGCAGTATAAACCATGTACATGATCTATGTAAAAATATTAGAATAAATACTGAAAATTAATATTATTGTTTTTGTTTATGTGGAAATGTTTTTTTCAAATCTCACTGACATCGGCATCAATGCTGTCGCTTAGCTGTGTTCTGTTTGCCCGACAAGAATGACGAAAATGCACAGGGAAACGAAGAGATAATGACGTACACTAATACAACTGTAAATATCAGATTTGTCATTTCGGCCTTAAAAATGTGATGGGAAAATCCATCAACGAGCTGAGGAGATATTACCTCACGCAATGCTCTCATATGATGGCTCAAATGATCGGAAGCCTACTTGCAGAGCGTTTTTGTACGTGGTTTTAGTCTCGCTAAAAATACAGGTTAAGCCTTTAGGCTCTGGGGTACTAGAAGTTGATTTCTTCTAATAAAAGAAACTCTTTATTTTTCTCATTTTCCAGAGCAGATGATTTAGTTTATTGTAACAACGTTCGTAATGTGATGAGTTTATTAAATTTTGAATATTATTCATGGCCCTGGTGATTGTTTAACGTTTCAGTGAAAACTAGTTTGCAGGTAGTGGTGTTGTTTAGTGGAAACAAACTTCCTTCAGTGCTGGTTGTTACGAGAATATGAAATTTTTACTTAAAAAAATATCATACCGTAATCTCTTAAATTTGTGTCATTACACTTTTTTTTAATGAAACCAATTTTTGCCAATTTAATTTGCGTATGGAATAGTAGAGACGGAAAAGAAATCACTATACGAGAATAGTGTGGCTCCATGAAAATGTTGAAAATGATCTCCTAGTGATCCCTGATGACGCGGTTTTTCACCATTGCACATAAAACTTAGTCTGATAAAACATTTTGTAAAATCTGTTGTTTCCAGTGAAAACTTGCCTCGCAATGTTTTGTGAATATTCCCCAGAACGTTTTTTTAAAACATACAGAAAATATTGGATGAGTGCATAAGTGCGTGCACGATTCCGCTGGATGCCGTTCGAATCGTTTGATTGTGGCGCTCGTGAAAGAAATATATACATATTATATATCGTTGGAAAGGTGACAATCCGAACTGTAAATCAAGCATAAAATAACTTCATTTTGATTTGAGTTGCTTGGTGAAAAGACGCATGGAAGATGGACAACGAAAAAGGTCATATGCGTCATATTATGTTATACGAATTCCGCAAAGGAAAAACAGTAGGCGCTGCAACTAAAGATATTCGCGAAGTTTATTTGGACCGTGCTCCAGCACTCCGCACAGTAAAGAAATGGTTCGCGAAATTTCGTTCTGGAGATTTTAATCTCGAAGATCAACCTCGCAGTGGGCCGCCTTCTGAGCTTGATGTTCTAAGGACTTTAGTTGCGAATAACTCACGTATTTCGACGGAAGAGGTTGCCAGTGAATTGAACGTCAACAAATCAACTGCGTTTCGTCGTTTAAAAAAGGTTGGGTACACTTTGAAGCTCGATACATGGGTGCCACATCAGTTGAGTGAAAAAAACAAAGTGGACCATATGTCAACAGCAATTTCTTTGCTTCGACGGATCAAAAACGAACCTTTTTTGGATCGGCTCGTGACTGGTGATGAAAAATGGATCCTGAACAACAATGTTCAACGCAAAATAACATGGAAACAGGCACACGAAGGGGCGGAACCGATATCGATAGCTCGACTGCATCCGATGAAGGTACTGCTGTGCATTTGGTGGGATATCCGAGGCGTGATCTATTTTGAGCTCTTGCCATCTGGAGAAACGATCACTACCAACAAGTATTGTCAGCAATTGCTCTAATTGAAGAAAGTAATTGATGAAAAACGTCCGATTTTAGCCAATCGCAAAGGAGTTCTTTTCCATCATGACAACGCCAGGCCACATGTTGCAAAACCGACCCTGGCCAAACTAAAGGAGATGAATTGGGAAATCATGCCGCATCCTCCATATTCACCCGACATTGCACCTTCTGATTATCATTTGTTTCGTTCGCTGCAGAACAATTTGAATGGGAAAAAATTTAAAAATGTGGAAGACGTCAAAAACCACCTTGACACCTCTTTCAACGAGAAACCGCGCGATTTCTATGAATCAGGCATCCGTAAATTGGTTGAACGTTGAGAGTGGATTGCCAAACATGATGGCGAATACAGAATTGATTAATAAAAGCGCTTTATTCAAAAAATTTCAATTTTAGTTTGCACTTGAAATCGGGCACGAACTTATGCACTCATCCAATAGAAAAATTAAAAAGAATTAACAAATGAACTTTTATTGCCATATAAATCCTTCGGTGTAATATGTCATTAAAATTCATATGCTTGACTCCCAATCGGACTTATTTCCGGCAAATTAAGTGCTGTGAGGGACGAACAAGGTGAGAGGTTCCATCGGAATATTACCACAAAGACTGTCTGAAGGCTTTCAAGCGACAAAGAGGTGGAGAAGAAGATAGAGAAGTGTACGAAGACGTTGGCGGGAAACCCTTTAGGGGAAGGCATCAACAAAATTGATACCTTGCTTCACCATTCACATTGGCGACTGTGTTGAAAATTTATTTAAATTTTACTTACTAATGTATCGCGTAATAAGTTTCGTTTAGATAACAAGTTTTAAAGCCTTCAAAGATTCAGAACACTTCCCGCTTGGATGTGTCACGTTTATTTTTTAGGTTTAAAGTTATAAATCTCATTTATTATAAGCACAATAAATATATGTAGGCACATATATACATATATATTTAATTGAAATTACTCTAACAACTTGCCAATTTTCTCTTTCTCTTTATATTCCACAGGTCCGCCATACGTACGTGCCATTGGTCCCATAAAAGCTGTCGCTGGCGAAGATATAATTGTTCACTGTCCATTTTCCGGTTATCCAATCGAACAAATTCGCTGGGAGAAAGGACGTCAAGAGTTGACATCAAGTAAGACAAATTGCAACAAAGCGTGTACATTTCATGTCGAACAATCATAGAACACAAAAAACTGGAACAGCGCACATAATTCCACAGGCAAAGCAAAATATAGAAATAACAAAGTGCAAATGAAATTCTATTAGAAAACGGGTGGGGGGAAATAAAATGCAGTGAAGTAATGGAGTGTTGGAGCGCAAAAATTACGCAGCAACGCTTTCATTGCCTCCACTCCTTTGCTGATTTCATCTCATTTATGCCTCAGCGAACCTTCATGTGAATTGTGGCTCTTCATTATTTGTTTTTTTTTTCTTTTGCTGTTTTCTCACTACTCCTGGTGTTAGTTACAATAACAATCGCTGCCATAACTTTTCATTCACTTTACATGTGAAGTTGTTTGTGTATGTGTTTGCTTAGCTAACGCCACTTTACAATTTGACAGCTACAGTTTAGCACGAACTATTTATATTCCCACCGTGCATCGTAAGCGCACTTACACACATTCAACAAGGACACACACATACATATATATATTAGAATTTTTTCCTTATGCCTCACCTATATGTGTACTTTGTTTTCTATTTTGCAGATTCCCATTATTCGCTGTCACCGGTGCAGCAGGGTGGCTATCTTGTCATCAAGAATGTCGAACCGACCCGTGATCAGGGCATGTACACTTGCATTGTCCGCAGTCGGGCGGGTGAGGAAGCACGCCGCGATATGCAGTTGAATGTGAATAGTAAGTATTATATGGTTATGCACACGTACATATATTGTGGAAAGAATGTATTGACGCTGGATAGGTGAGTGAGTTGAGTTTAAGCAAGAGGATTAATGGAGAAAAGGGTTAGTATTTTTTTTTACTAAATTTATGTTTATCTGCTGGTAGTGTCTGAAATGCTTAGTGATTTTAATCGTGATGAACTTTGCAATCTTTAGGACGCAAAATAAAAAAAAAATTGAAAATTAATATTGTCTACAAAGTGTGAAGTTTTTTTGTTTTCATTAAAACAATATAAAAATTTAATTGATATTATTTTAATAAATTTTTTTTTTTAAGTTTCCGCCAAATCCAAGTTAATCTATTTGTTGAGACCGCAAAGCTGCTCAATTCGAAATGCACGGGAAATCTAATGAAAACAGGGGGATAAAAGATACGCCGCTAGCTTATTTGATAGGTTACCTGTTCAAGGCAGGAAAGGAGTAAAATTTCAATATATTTCTTCACTTTTTCGAAAATTTTTCGGATATTTCTTTATCAATTGGGTTGCCCAAAAAGTAATTGCGGATTTTTTAAAAGAAAGTAAATGCATTTTTAATAAAACTTAGAATGAACTTTAATCAAATATATAATTGCCATTTTGTTCGATAACCTTTTGCCATCTTCCTGGCAAATTTAGTATTCCACGCTCATAGAACTTCTGGCCTTTATCTGCAAAAAACTGAACCAAGTGCGATTTTATAGCCTCATCATTGCCGAAAGTTTTACCACTTAAGGAGTTCTGCAAAGATCGAAATAAATGGTAGCCTGATGGTGCAAGGTCAGGGCTGTATGGTGGAGGCATCAAAAGTTCCCAGCCAAGCTCACTCAGTTTTTGGCGAGTGACCAAAGATGTGTGCGGTCTAGCGTTGTCCTGGTGGAATATGACACCTTTACGCTTTACCAATTCTGGTCGCTTCTCCTTGATGGCTGTATTCAATTTGTCCAATTGTTGACAGTAAACGTCCGAATTAATCGTTTGGTTCTTTGGAAGCAGCTCAAAATATACCGCACCCTTCCAATCCCACAAAACAGACAGCATAACCTTCTTTTGGTGGATATCAGCCTTTGAAGTGGTTTGAGCTGGCTCACCATGCTTGGACCATGATCGTTTTCAACTAACGTTGTTGTAAACAATCCATTTTTCATCTCCAGTTATGATTCGTTTTAAAAACGGATCGAATTCATTGCGTTTAAGGTGCATATCACAAGCGTTGATTCGGTGTGTTAAATGAATTTCTTTCAACACATGTGGTACCCAAATGTCAACCTTTTTCAACAGTCCAAGACTTTTTATGTGATAATGAACGGTTGATTTTGGTATATTTAACTTCTTTCCTATCTCACGCTCAGTTTTTTTCTGAAGCAAGCTAAGAGTAACAGCTGATAACTTACAGAAGAAAGAATGCAATTACAGAGTCACAAGCCGTTGGAGAAATTTGTCAACGCCGAGTATATGAAAAATCCGCAATTACTTTTTGGGCAACCCAATATATTTTCCAGAGATGCTCAACTAACGAAACAATGACATTTCGTTAATGTTAACATGAGAAATAAGTTTACCGAAATAATTTTGTTTCGTTTCAGCGCCATATCATTAAAACGAAACGAAATTTTTAATGTTGAAACCGCATAAACTCATCGCTAACATTAATTTTAACATGACTGCCTGCAATCATTTAACAGACACACTGCAATTTTAACGTTTAACATTATCTGTTAATGATTTAACATAAACGACCTCATTTTATTTCTGGTAAAACGGGAATAAAATTTGTATTGATCACTGTTTCAACGTTAACATTTTCAAAAATTATGAATTTGCGTCTAAGCAAGGAAGAATAGCTTGTAACTAGAAGCCGCAGCGAATCTTAAGTACATTTTTTTCAAAACTCCCTATAGGTTTTTTTAGGTTTCTCCAGTATCAAAATGAAAAAAAAACACGCAACAAAATACTACGTTGTATGAAACTTCATTTGGTACCGAGTAGCTCGGAAAGGTCCTTCATAATTGTGTAGGCGCTTCTTTTATTATCTAGCGTCAGTATCAGATTTGCTTGGGTACCAGCGGCTTACTAAGCTGCCAAAAGCTGCTGTACAATCAATGAAAAAGTGATGTGGTGTAATTAACTAGATTTACAGTCACACTAAAGAAGTCCATTCAGTTTGTTAAACGTGGGTTTAAGTCTTTCAGTCTTTCTTACCTACGGTAACTGCAGCATGCCTTGAGGTCTCTTTTTCATGGACTGAGCAAAGCTCGCATTCATTCCAATCGTTGCAAAAGCTTTCGTTCAAACACATGCTGCAGAGTAGCTAATGCATGTACCTTGTCAGCTCTTCACTGGCATGTTTGTATAGCACTGCCAGTGGGTCCTCGGCTGCAGTTCTAGTTGGGTAATGAAACGTCTTTCCATTATCATGTAGTGGAGTTACGGAATCACCATCTCTATGTGTTCCCTGTTCACTACAATTCGTCAACAGACTCAAGAAGTGTTCGCTACATAAATTCAGTATACTCTGGGTATCAGTCACTAGATCCCCTCTCTAGGTCCTACAAGAGCCTGCTCCGGTCTTGAAACCATCTGAAAATCGTGTTGACTGTTCATACAATTTTCGAGCGCTAACCTTGTTGGACAGCTTCTCAAGCTCTTCATACTCACTCGTTTCGGCCGCTTTTTTTTCTCCACTGCAGGTCGACATTAGTAGCTTAGGCACTGCCGAAAATCAATTGTTTCCGTAGCGGCGGCACGTAGGGAGTTTGAGATGTCGTTCTACAGCTAACTAATATCAGATTGCTGATGAGTGTTCACAGAAAGCAGGTGCGCAAGTCATGCTGCTGTCTGCTGTGATTAGCTTAGAAGTCAAAGCCTGAGGCAGGTTTCCGTTGACAGTAAGGAATAATAATATAAAATATTGAAAAATGCTCGTTCATATATTTTTTTAAGCTTGATTTCGTGCAAAATGCTTTCTGTTTTTATGCATTTTTACGTAAATAATACAAAAAAAAAATAAATAAAAATTCATGAAATTTTTGCTCAATGCCATAGAGTTAACCTTGAATCGGAAAGAATCGATTTCAATTTTGTTTGACATTTTCGCATTTTCATTTCCCAATCATTCTACTGTTAAAGTATATTAACAAATTTCCTCTTTTCCTGCTTCTTCTTTCGCATGCCACACAGGTCCACCAGTAATTGAACCTTTCAAGTTTCCAAAGAATCTCCAGGAGGGTGGACGCGCACAAATAACTTGCGCCGTCTCGTCTGGTGATATGCCAATCTATTTCAGTTGGAAGAAGGATGACATGTCCATACCGACAAGCTTACAGGTGAGTTGATCAATCTAAATGGCTGCTGAGCCACTGACGGGCATACATACTCGTATTCGTATACGCGCAGAAAATCAATGGTTGAAGAGATGGAAAGAAGAAGAAGAAGAGAAGAAGAAGAGGAAGAAAAAGTGAAAAAGTTAAAAATGTAACTGCAGCAAGTTGAGTGGAGTCACTTAAAAGTTATATGCTGCAAGGCAAAAGCGCAAAAACAAAAAGAAATTGCAAATCCTTCTACTGTGCATACATAGATGTATGTGTATGTGTTTGGTTTATATGTATGTCAGGGTTCATGTGTCTAAAATTTCGAAACAAAGTGTCAAAGTTGTTTTAAGCGTTAAATTAACAAAAAAAAGAAAAAACCATACCAAACGCCGTCATGGGCGTACTTTAGACTAGCTCAGGGTAGCATACATACACATAGACATGCATACATACGAGTATATTGTGCCATACCATGACACATACTACTTATTTATGTAGCATAGCATATTCACCTGACATTTCAATTTTGTTTTCACTTCTTTTGGCTTTTCGCTCGTTTCTTGAATTTCTTCTACAAACACGCAGATTACCGAGAAAAAGGAGGAATTCTACTCGCTATTGGTCTTCAAGGATATCAGCGCAAAGCACAGCGGTAAATATACCTGTTATGCGAGTAATGCGGCAGCCAAGGTGAATTACACAGCCGAATTGCAAGTGAGAGGTAAGTCAGTGTAGAAGGCGGGACGAAGAAGGAAAGGAAGATGGTTAGAGAATGCAAGTAATTGCTACATGAAACTACACTTTCATCAGTCTATTTTTAATTTTATTTGAAAAAGAAAAGAAGGCAGAAGAAAACAGTTGAAGGGGAAAGGCAGACCGGCAGACACAAGCGCAACTAAGCGGATAAGTAACAGTTTATATGGCGCATTGTGTGCTGCTTGCAACGAAATCAACGCTGAGACTCTGTGAATACCCATGGAATGTGATAGACGTTAATCTAAGATTAAGTTTTCAGTAATAATAGGAAAAAAAATTCGGTGGCAAAAATTTTACCACAAACATTTATTAAAAAAAAAAATGGATTAAAAAGGTTTCCACCGCGAAGTTAGCAAAACATAATTTTTTCAAATTGTACAGACCAACTTCTTTCCAACCCGGGATTAATTTATACTTTCCTAAAGGTGTTTGCAGGCCTTTGAGCGACCTTCATTTTGTCATATTAAACATGATAATAGCAGATCTTACGAGGTTTTCCCCAAAAAATGGCTGAATATTGTTTCCCAAATAATTTTTATTAATTTTTTTATAAAATATTATAATTTTTTTGTTGAAAATTAATTTTATTCAAGTAAAGGATGATCCAATTTAATGATATTTTAGTTCAGTATTATTTGACGGTCGCGGCAGCCGAGTGGTTAGCATTGCGTAGTGCCATCCGGAAGGCTCGGGTACACATCCTGGTATAGTACTAACATCCAAAAGTTATGAAAAAATAAATTTAAATAAAAAATTAAAGCTAAGTTTTCTAATTGCGGTCGACCCTCGGCAGGATATGTCCATCCCTTCGAGTGTATTTCGGACATGAAACAATGCTCCTCGTAAATAAACCATCAGCCCTTCGGAGGGGGCTTAGTATCAACTGTAGATCCCTCCATTTGGAAAAACATCAAGACTCAATACCAAAAATTGGTGGAGGAGATCGGCCGACAATCGCTTCGGCGGTTACAAAGCGACAAATATATATTAAGCCTAAAAAAAAATTTACAAATCCTTCAACTTTATTACAAAAATTCACGTTAGGTAAAGAATGTGTTTCGCTCTTCACTCAACTTATACATAATCGGACTACTGAGCGTACCATTTGCAACACCAGCAGCCATCTTGAGACCCATCACTCATTACTGGATAATAGTCGACCGAATGGACTACGTTCGTTCACACAGTGAAGAAAACTTAGCGATCCCAACTAAAAGAGACAAGAACTGAAGACGCCCGACTTTATCGAGAGACATCGCTTTGCTCTATTGGCTCTTGAAGAGTCCCAAGAAAATCCGACGTTTTTACCCAAATTTTGTGCAGTGATGAGGCCCTTTTTAAGACTCAATGGGTATGCAAACCATCAAAATTGCCACATATAAGACAAATGGCAGCCGGAAGATATTCAAGAGCTGCAATTTCATCCTGGAAAACCAACAGTTAGGCCTGGTGGGATCATTGGCCAATATTTCTTCAAAAATCAAGCTAGTGAGAATGAATACCGTCAATGGCGACCGTTATCGCACCATGATAAGCGACTAGTTGATATCTGAAATTGAAGCTCGTGATCTCGGCGACATTCGGTTTCAACCAGACACCGCCATTTCCAACACATCGCATTAATCAATCGATTTATTGAGGAATAATGAGCGGATAATTTCACGTTTTGGGTCAGTTTATTAGCTGCCAAGATCGTGTGATATCACACCCTTAGCCTTCTTCCTGTGGACTTATTAAAAGTCTAAAGTCTATGCGAATATTTCCGCTTTGATTTAGGCCTTGGAGAAAAGTATCAGACGGGTCATTCGCCAGCTACTAGCTAAAATACTATAACGAGTCATCGAAAATTGCATTCAACGGATGGATCATCTTAGTGGAGCCACGGCCAACATTTGAAAGACATAATCTTCAAGAAATAAATGCCAGAGAATGTTTTTTAGAATGATAATAAACATTTTTAAATTGGAATTTTCTGTGGAGGATCATCGGCCAGTGGCACCCAATCATGGTACTTCTTTGACCCGGGAGTAAAGCATATTGGGTCAGCTATTTCCTGACAGCTTGTATGTCGGTATTGCTCAACCAGTTGCAGCATTTTGTATGACTGGTTGACTGAAGCGTGGTGATCTTTGATATTGGAAATTCCTGTTCGGAAGTAAAGAAGTCACTCCAGGGTTCGCGTTCGCTTACATCATTCCAACCGCAAACCATTTTCATCTTCAGAAATGTTCTCATTTTCAAGTCAAAATAACTTTTCACACGAATATCGGTATACTGAACTTTCGTCACCAGTTGGAAATACCAGGTCGCTTTCCACCTGATCCTTTAAACGGTGTAGGGCACTCTTCTTTCCCTACTTGGACAGGATGGCACTACATCGAATACTTTAAAAGTTGGTGCACTTTCGCTCTATCGCACGACGAGATCTAGCCAGCGTAGCCGCTGCAGCTTCATTTGCTGAACTATGTCAATGCTACCGAATAACTCGTATATCGCACCGTTCCATCGTTTGCAATATTCGCAGTTACCAATGCGCAAAGGATCACAAATCGATCGCAAAACTCTTTCCTCGAAGAGTCCCACGGATATCGCCTTCTTCTACACCATATATTAGGACAGGAATGATGAGTGACTTGTGACTTGGTTTTGGTTCGTCAGGAGATGAAGTTACTTTCGCTATTTCGATGGGCAAAGAAGAATCCAAATTTATTCCTGCCAACGACTTCAACTCAGCAGTTAGGAAAGTTGAGTTGAGTTAATGCGGCTACTGGTCTGACACTTAGGCCTATAGACCTGTTGTGATGCCGCTGAGTGTTTACTGCTTTCACCTTCTCAAATCTTCAAAACATTTTATGTGCAACAAGATTTCCACTGAGGCTAGTTCAGCGAGACAGTCGAAGAAGTGTATCCGGGGAACTTGTCGCCCATATGTCAATGCTGGACAGTCAACGAGATAGTTTTCAATAGGCTTTTCCTATTCTCCTTCCCAACAGCTGCGGCAGAAATCATTAGAGTAGTAGCCCATTCTTCTCCCGTAAAGGTCCATTAGCAGTGCCTTATCGTTATATTAACGGAAAAGCGTGCCAGATGTAGTAAATATTTTGCTATAACTGGTTGCTATAACTGGTTGGCCACATTACACGTGATCTCATGCAGTCGTCTTGAGTTTGCTGCTTTGGCAAAGTCCAGTTGCTTCAACGTTTGATGGCCACTTTTAATGCGGTACTGTTATATTGAAGAGATCTGATGGATGTTTGACTGTCGGAATATATTATAATTGATTATCCTGCTAGATCTAAACAGCCACTCGACGGTGTCCTTGCTTGCAAAAAATTCTGTTTAGAGGACTGAGAACAAGGGCTAATAGATTAATCAGCCCACTTTTCCTCGAGCTTTGATCGGTCCGTAAAGATGGCCGTGGCTTATCCTAGATTAAATAGGAAACGACTACGACTTCCAAGGCATTCCAAGGCATGCTTCCCAGTGACTTATTGCGGCAGCTCTTCATGCCTTTCATACTAGTGCCTCATATGTAAGGAAGGATAACTTCAAGACAACATTTTAGGCTTTAAAAATGTGCATCTCAATTCACTGCACCTAAGGCCGAGCTTTAGTTACTCTTGTTAGCCTCCTGAGGGAGTTGGAAATATGTCAAAATGTAATAATAATAATCAGAGATTAATTGACCCAGTATTAAATATTATCTACCCCTTGACCAGGGTTAGGTCAGTTTTAAGAGAATTTCAAGACGAGGATATTATAAAGCATCCAAATAAATTTTATTTTTTCCAAAAATTTTTTGCAAATTTTTTTTTTGTACAAATTTTCATTTTATCATTTATGGGGTTTTATGAGATCCAACATTGGCTTGGTCTACGTGAAAAAGTATTCCTTTGTTTGATAGCTTCTTTCTAAGTTTATGTAAGAATTCTTTTGTATGAACCTATTTCTGATCTGATCAATGTCTGATACATTTTCCCCCTCAATATTCAAATATTTAAAAATTGCTTGGAGCATAATTACACGCCAATAAGGATGGTAGTCCTTTCCAATACTGTACACTAAACAGTTTATTGCTTACTCTGAAATAAATCACCCGACATTTCACTTTTTTTACTTTTATAAATTAACTCGAAATGCTCCAAGGCAACAAAATCAGCGAGTTCTTGTTAAAAGTCCACAAAGAAACTGCGGGAAAACTTTCGAGCTGAGCACATACAAACTCCGGCTAACTGCCGAGCAACTAACCTTTCCTAGTATTCTCCTTAACACACACATATCCATACAAACAAACATAGACATATTGCTGTTAATTTGTTGTTTACTCTACTACTTTGTATCTCTTGCAACTACGCTGCTTGACGCTGTTCATCGCATGGAACAACACAACTCAACCAAACCCAATACATATTCACCACTCACGTTATCGCATTTCCGGCGCACATGGACTGACTTCATTTATTTCACTGCTAAAATGTACACACGCACGGCGTGTATGTGTGTATGTTGGATGGATTTGTATGAAACTCTTCGTTTACGTTTATTTAGTTGCGCCACGCTGGGCGTTAGAGCCAATGGACACGGCCATCATGCTTGGCAATACAATATCGATAAATTGCGAGGCGGAAGGATATCCGATTCCAACTATTACCTGGTTCAAAGGACAGGGTGAGTGTGCAAGTATTGTGTATAGAAGAAGTAACTATAAAAATTAGATGAACAAAAAAAAAGCAAAAAAAAAAAACTATCTTATACAGCTATATCGGAGTTTGGGATTGGAGTAGATTGTAGTATATCTCTACGCTATTGTGCATACACATACATCTGCATCCATATGTATGTATTATTTAGTTGCATATACTGACAGTCTCTGGCGATGTAAGCTGCGAAAATTTTTTCCTAGCTCTGACGTATAAAAAATCGAATCCACACGTTTGGGATATCAGACACAAAGTACTGCGTACAGTAGGCCAAGAGAAGAAAAGAACATAATAAAATTTAACAGAATTAGTGCGGTTGGAGGCGTGATAAAAATAATATAAAATTGAAATAATAAAAAAAAATTAAAGAAAATCAAAATGTATATAACTATAAAAAAATAAAAAAAAGTTAGCAAATATATTAAATAAAATAATATTATATAAATATAACTTAATCAAGATTAAATTAAATAAAATTAGATTAATTTAATAAAAATCATATAAAATTAAATAATATTGTAAAAAGTTAAATGAAATAAAATTTAATTAAATTAAATTATTATAAATTAAATAAAGCCAAATTAATTTAAATGTAATAAAATAATATTAAATACACTTAATTAAATAATAATAATAAAATATAAAAAATAAAATGAAATAAAATTAAAAGAAATTAAAATAAAATTAAATAAAATAATATAAAATAAAATAAAATAGAATAAAATAAAAAAAATAAAATAAAATAAAGTAAAATAAAATAAAATAAAATAAAATAAAATAAAATAAAATAAAATAAAATAAAATAAAATAAAATAAAATAAAATAAAATAAAATAAAATAAAATAAAATAAAATAAAATAAAATAAAATAAAATAAAATAAAATAAAAAAATTGAATTTAAATGAAATGAAATAAATTAAAATAATATAAATAAATTGAAATAAGATAAAGCAAAATCATACTTATGCACTGTACATCGGTAGTAAACTTAAACTGAAATGTGAGTTCATTAAAGTTTTATAGACGGCGACTTTGGGTTCGGAAGTTAAATTGGGGTCGTGCGACACGAGCGGTGAGCTGGTTAGGGACTAAGTAAAAGCACATTAAAAGGATAAAGCCAAGCAGAAAAAAGGGAAGTAAAAATAATAGCCCTTCAGTGAAAAAATTGGAAATGGAATAAAAACGTTTGGCGAAAGAAATTGCGCAAAGAAAAGCGCAAATAAATTAATGTCAGAGATGTTAGAATATTAATTAAGCCATTTTGGCATTGATGGGCAATTATGCGCCCGGCAGCTGCTACTATGCTTCTTGCTAAAATCCAAAAAAACAGTTGGTGAAAGTAGAAGGTGAATAAATAAATATAATTATAGCTCTTAAGAGAAAGAACGTAGGCAGACTGTAGGCTACGCAACCTTTAAGAAACTAAAAAAAATTAAAAATATTAAAAAAAATTTAAAGAGGAAAAAAATAAATTAAAAATATACAAATTTTTCCACAGGCAAAATGTCGCAGGACTTTAAGCCGCTCAGCATGCGCAATAATTCGTTGGTTTTAAATCTGGCTACCGACATTGATGAGGGCTACTACATGTGTCAGGCCGCAAATGAAATAGGTGCAGGGCTGAAAAAAGTCATACGCATTAATGTGAATGGTGAGTAAGGAGCTCCGTTAAATTACACGCTTTAAGCAAAAACACAATTTCATTTATATTTACTGCACTTTTGTGCTCTATTTCTCCTTCTATTTATTTTCCTGTTACTGTAGAACCCGCCCGTTTCGAGCAAGCAGCACGCAATGTTTCCTCACGTCGCAACGATCCCGTCAGCCTCGAGTGTCAAGCGAAGGGCGACGATCCCATCGCCATCTCATGGACACACAACAATGGCCGCATCGACTTGAATAATTTCCGCTTCAGCATAGCGGAAATGAAAACGGACAAAGGTGTTGACTCGCAACTCACAATTGCTCGTTCGGATCGTCACGATTCGGGTATTTATCGTTGTGTAGCCGAGAATCCATATGGACGCGCGGAACTCGTCATATTTCTCGCGGTGCAGGAACGTCCCGACACACCCTCTGTGCTGGAGGTATTCGAGGTGGGCTCACGCACAGTTAAGCTTTCATGGCGTCGTCCATTCGATGGCAATTCGCCTGTGCTCAGCTATTTAGTGCAATATCAGCCGTTGAAGTATCTGCAATCACATGCAGCACTCGGCTTGTCGGGTGGCGATTGGAGCGGTCCGAACATTATCAACGTTACGCTGCCGTCAACAAGTATTAGTCGCAGGTATGTGTACATGTGTGTGTTCGTTCACAACAAGTGCTGCCATTCATTGTTCATAAACATTCACGCTCATATGTTTGTATTATTGTTTGTTCTTCTGCTCATTCTTGGTCATTGTTGTTTTTGTTTTTGTTTTTATTTTTCTGTTGTTCTCGTTGCTGTTCCCATTATACTGACAGCTATGACAGCGATTTGCGTGAGAGTGCCATTGTTGCTGGCCTGACGCCGGCAACCACTTTTCTCATTCGCATGCAGGCAATCAACGAAATCGAGCGCAGCCCATTCACCGATCCGATTGTATTGAAAACGCAGGAAGAGGCACCAACCGAAGCGCCCTCGAATGTCCAGGTGCAGACTGGTGGCGAAAGCGAATTGATTGTGACATGGCAGGTGAGTTTGAGGATACCACATATATTACTTAGCTGAGTGTTTGTTTGCTCTCGGATATTGCACCGGATATGATGTGGTCGATTGTGTGTTGAGGCTGATGGGGCTAACAAGTGTTGGTTCAGGTTTTATTAGAAGTTTTTATGCATTTTATGTGTACTCATTTTATAGAACAAGCTGCTTCTCCAAGCAGTTGACAGGCGATACTCATTTGGTAAAATGAAGTAAGTACGGGTAAGTATGTATGAAGCTTTCTTAGAATAACATTTCTGACTTGTGAGGAGGTGCACTTTAGTGATGGAAATGGATATTTTTATTCACTCAATCTTCTTGGTACAAGTCTGTCTTGTAATTCGGGTAGAGTCTTTGAATGAAGGTAACATTGAGATCCAATTGTAGGTTGATTGAAAGTTCAGAATCTGAGTATAAATATATGTACTAATATTTGAGTCAACGAGTCTATTTCTATCTAATTTATAACGTGTTTTTTCTCTAGGAATCAAAACATATTCATGGCTTTTTTCTTCCGGAACGTTTCTATATACATTATTTCTTGACTTTTTAGCCTTGTTGTAAGCAACGACATCATAGCAAAGTCTATAGCGCACGAGTAGTTTATTCTCTTAGCTGTTTGACCTCGATTGGCGAAACCAAACATAGAAAGGTCACTCGATCTTTCGAGCTCTCTTGCTCTGTTCCGTCAGTGAGTACTTGGAAAGCTGCAATGCTTACATCCATTCCCAGACCTGTTCGCCTCGCTTCCTCCTCAAGTCTAAGAAAGCAAAACGAACGGTGTTATTTTTGATAAGATCAACATCAGTGTTATTGCATATTACTACCTCTCTGTTTAGCTCTTTACTTCGTATTCTTTTCTCCAGCTTTGGTCACACGAAACAGAGTCACTCTGTATTAAACCTCGATTAGTGCTAAGCGGCTCTAAGAGAGTGTTACCGATTCGGATTGCGCTTCTGGTATTGTCCAGAGTTACGTAAGCTAACTGCGTAGCGGAATGAGTTTTGTAGGGATGTCATATTCAGGTATTTCATACTCGATGGCGATTTTGAAATCGATCGAAGAACCTTTTCCTTGGCGCTTGATGAATACCTGCTCATATGCCATAACTGAAGCCATACTGATTGATTCGATCAATTGACGGTAGGTTTTATACGTCCGTTTGAAATCTTATTTGTTACATTGAATAAGCTTGAAGGAGAGCACACTCAGGCTTCAAAAGTTGTGCTTTGGGTTGAATGTCAAAGGGATAGGGAATCCAGTGCCCTTGGCTCATTAATTTGGCTAATTCACAGACCACATTCGTACACATATCAGTCTAAGTGTTGGTATAAAAATTACTCGCTCTTGATTAGTTTAGTTTAGTTAACTATTTCAGAGAATGTTTCCTTAAATTTTTTCAAAATTGGATTCCTTCTTGAGTTACCCGAAAATCATTTAGATATTGGCCTAGAAGGTTAAAGAAACAATCTCTAAGATCTTGATGTAAGGGCTAATCATTCCATTTACTATCCACTGTGAACCACAGAGTCTAGAATTATCCAACTCCACTTTTTTAGCGTCCTGCTCCGAATACTTTCGAACGCCTACCAACAAAAATTTAGTTTATTTGCAGCATTTATTCTGCGATCGCCATCTTCCACAAACTGCCCTGGTAAACACAACGCAATTAACCTTATTTCAAAGAAGCCACCAAATAAACTCTTAGCAGAAACACTGAAGCTTATTTACATTTGCACTTACGTCCCCCTCCACTTTGCTCACTGTCACTGAGTGCCCTCAAGTGCAATCATCACCTGTATTTAATATCCTGCGGCTTTTTATCGAAATTAATAATTCAACACACTATAACGGTGTCTGATTTATGTGCACGTGAAATATATCTGCGCCGTCCCCATGTTACTTTAACTACTCATACTTTAGGTTTGAGTTGCTCAAGAGCCATTTGAGGCAACATCACTTTGGCGAGAGGAGCGTATTTTTCTCGCGCATAAAATCAACATTTATGTGGGCCACTTAAGCGATAGTGGCTGCGAGTGTGTTTTCTTTCTGTGTATGTATGTGTGTGTGTGTGTGTTTTCATGTGGGTGTGCAATAATACCAATTTACTACTTACCTATACAAATGCATGCACATATTTACTTGTACTTACTTAAAATAACTACTTCTTGTCACTTCCCTTGTTTATGCTTGTCTCCCTATCACTCTCTTTCTCTCTCTCTCTCCCTCTTGCTTGTAGATACCATCACGCGAATCCTGGAATGGTGAACTCATCGGTTATACCGTTAACTGTAGCGAGGAGAAACAGAACATCAACTACATTAGCGTTGTCAATAATTCACTCAAGTCGGTGATTGTAAGTGGTTGGGCGACCACAAAGGCAACCATTCGCGGCTTACGCAAATACACTAGGTACGCGGTCACAGTGCGCGCGTTGAACAGCTTCGGTTCGGGACCGTGGAGTGCGGCTATTTTCGGCACAACTGCTGAGGGCGGTAAGTACACATAAAATATAAGTAGTTGCTACAGTTTCGTTTCTTATATTTCTTCTTATTCTACTTTCATATTGTTATTGTTATTGTTGTGTTTCTCCGCCACTTCGTAATGTTGTTTATAGTAAATACTTTGTGTCTGCGTAAAGTTCCTAATAAGAACAGTATCGGTGGGTGGGTAAGAAATTTAGGCTTCTATAGAGTTGAATAGAAGTAACCATAAGCAAAGAGCTTGTACTCCGTATACCAAAGCTTGTTGTATTCCTCTCATTGCATGGAAGGGGAATGACCATTTTGAGGCTCCTCAATCCTTATGTCAAGATTATGGCTATCATGTTTAATATCTCCGGCAGCTGACTCTAGTTACATAATTTTATAGAAAGCAGATTGTTGTCTTTTCATGCTACTCGCCACCCTTTAAAATTTTACGTTCCCACAATCCTAACCAGCTCTTTAACTACATTGCAGCTTGTCTCTGTCAAATTACTATGTATTCTCACTACTTCTCTCAGACCCATTCAGTGCCATCAAGCTTGAACATTTTAATGTCATGCAAACAACATGCCTTCATTGCTATGAAAAAGGTCTCTGAAACAATACATTGAGAGCACTCACTCCAAAAACTGTACGTATTTCAAAGATTTTGATCGAAAATCCGCCCGATTGGATGCGTTTTCGTGGCATGCTGCAAACAAACGTGGAAATGCCCACCCATATTTCAGCTATTAGATATTGAATTTACCAAATCATGTGCCGTCCAGAGAAGCTCACAAATTGAGTAAAATGTGCCATGTATCTCTGTTCAGCAATTTTCAGCTGTATGAGTGGATGAACATCGAAACCTTACAGATAAGTCTTCCTAGCATTAAACTTACCGGAAACTGCGGGAGGCCGCGATAGCAGGGTGGCTAGCAGATTAGAAGCTTTTTATAAACATACATCAGTCCTTTGGAGGTGGCCTAGAATATATTGTAAGTCTTGTAGGTTTGTTGAAAGCACATTAAGACACACTTCACATATTGGACGAGGAGCTTGACTATACATTTCTTCAGTGACTATAAAGCGCCGATTATCTATAACGCGTTATTCAAGTAGACGTACTTTTTTCAATAACCTCTTTTTGACAGATAACACCAGAGTCGTGTCAAGTTGTCATGCTATTTTTGTTCAGTATTGTTGGGCATTTCATCATGAAAAGACTTGTGCTAATGTTTACAAATCATTCAATTTTATTACAAAAATTCTCGTTCTGTAAAGAATGTGTTTTGAGCGATTCATTCAACTTATGGTCAACATAACCGGCCTACAGAGCCTACTATTCGCAACACTTTCATCCATCTTGAGACCCAGTATTCATTTTTGGATAGCGGTCGATCGAATAAACTACGTTTAGCACGAAATGAAGGAAATATAACAACCGTAGCTGAGAGTATACATTAAGGCCGTGGAGAGTCGGTTCGGCGGCGTGGAATGTTTTGGCGCATTTTACGTCGATATCTTTAATTGAAAGCGTACAAATTACAGTGACATCGCTTCGCTTTTGAGCTCTTGAAAAGTTCCGATTTCTGGCTCAATAGGATTGTAAAAAAGTCAAATTGCTGCATTTGGGGCGAAGAGCAACCTAAATATTTTCAAGAGCTACCATTTCATCAAAAAAAAAAAAAAAAAAAAACAATTTGGTTTGTGGACTGGTGGAAACATCAGCCCGTATTTCTTCAAAAATGATGCTGGTGAGAATGTAGCCGTGAATGGCGACCGTTATCGTCCCATGATAAGCGACTATTTGACACCTGAGATTGAAGCTCACGATATCAGCGACATTTGGTTTCAACAAGACGGCGCCCCTTCCCACGCATCGCATCAATCAATGGATTTATTGTGAGAACACTTCGGTGAGCGAATAATTTCACTTTTCCGACCGATCGGTTGGCCACCAAGATTGTGTTATATCTTACCGTTAGATTTCTTCCTGTGGGCTATGTAAAGTATAAAGTCCATGCGGGCAATCCCACTTTAATTTAGGTTTTGGAGCAAAACATTACACGTGTCATTTGCCAGTTACCAGTCGAAATGCTCAAACGAGTAACCGAAAATTACACTCAATGGATGATCAATGTGAAAGGTAGCCGCGGCCAACTTTTGAAAGAGATAATCCTCAAAAAATTTCGAATTATAATAAAAATTCCTCATTGAATTTGAGTTTACTGTGTTTTTTTCTTCAGCTGGGAACCTCGGTATGGATCATCCTTTATTTATAATACTAACCTAAAAACTTTACTTCCAACTCTTCTGAATCTAATTTTTGAGATAGTAAACTTAATGATTTTTTATGGTCAGATTTGCCACTTTTTAAAGGTTGTATTGGCCTAAAAGTCTGAACTTTTTGTTAAGACAATATTTCACCGTCGATCTGGCAAAGAAAATGTGAGGTCTTCATGGCAAACCTGGAGGGAAATGAGCTTTCATAACATAGAAAATGTAAATTTGTTCAGGCTTCGTTGAGAGGTCGAACGTAACTTAAGCAGCAGCACGAAAATCGGAGAGGAATCGAACACCATGACAATTCCAGAGTATTTGAAACCAAAATTCCACCATCAAAGATTAAGATTTGCATAGCATTTCAGTAACGATATCACCCCACTCAATAAGTTATCACCACAGTGCGAGCTCGAACAGTTAATGAACTGTGGCTTTGAAATTTTTTGCAATCCCAGCAACCAAATTCCTCACAGGGTTCCTTTGCAATGCATCTTTTAGTGGGAAAATGAGTGAGTGTGAGTCCCATCGTGGAAAATGTGGACCAGCTGCAGAGAGTGGCAACTTAATGTGTACTCATAAGTATGCATGGAAATGCGGTAAGTGGAGTAGTCTTTGTTGAAACCACTAAAATGAGCTGAAAAAAAAATTAAAAAAAAATGCAAAGCAAAGACGCCTGAATTACGCTATTTTTAAGATGAAATACCGACGCCCAGCATGAGAGTAACTACTTTACCAAAAGCTCTGCCCATTTTGGTTTTCGGACATTGTGTATAAGTATTTTAACAGTGTTTTTCTTTAACACCAACTTCAACACTAACACTTATCGTTGCAACAACATTTAATGTACTCTATATTTTAAACTTTATCCGCTAATAATCTTTTTCTCGTTTTTCTTTTTCTTTTTTTTCATTTCGTACTTCCAGTGCCCGAAGCACCACCGCAACATGTCAACTGTACCGCGTTGTCGTCGCAAAGTCTGAAGATATCGTGGCTCGAGCCGCCACTGCAATTTCATGGTGGCATAATTCAGGGCTATAAAATTTTATATCGCCCAATTGTGAATCAAAGTGAGTTCGAATACCACAAATACACTTGCATTTGCCAATTTAAGCACAACGTTTGTGTAGATCCTTGTTAGCAATTGGCATGCATATTTGTAAGTATGTATGTATGCATGTTTGTATAAATGTACTGTAGTGCAGTGCCACTTTACTGGCTTCCCTAGTTGATGGTGTTAATGTTGCAGAGTGCTTAGCGGAGCTTTTGAGGCACTTCCGGTGCTTAAAATTGCATACAGTTGAAAAATTTTTGTACACATATGCATACATACAAAGGCACACGTAAATGAGACGCTTATGATTTTTTTTTAATTTTTAAAGAAATTTTGTAGAATTTTTTTTTTTTTGTTAATTTTTAAACTGAATTTTTGTACCTAAAAATAATTTTAGAGTTTTAATTTTGAATTTAAATAGTTTTAATGTTTTTTTTTTAGTAAAACAGAACTTCTTATATTTATTTCTATAAAAAACTTATAAATATTTTTTCCTGAAAGCTATTTCGAGTTAAAACTTAAAAAAAAAAATTTATACAAACGAAAAATTTGAACATATTTTTGTTTGAAAAAATATATATTTATGAAGTGTACTCAAAGTAAAAGGGTGAGTTTTGAATTTTTTTAAGCACTTATTCATTCAGAAATATTTATTTTGTTCCCTTTTCCATTCCTCGAAGCATTTGTGGAATGTTCCATCAGCTCTTACTTCGATTTCGACTTGATCACATCGGTTGTGGCAAAACGCTTTCTTTTCATTGATTTCTACAGTTTTGGGAACAGGAAGATTTCGCAGTGAGCAAAATCTGGTAGTTGCGGCATAATTACGGTTTTGTTTTTGGCAAAAAAATCACGAATAAGCATTGATGTGTGAGCTGGTGCATTATCGTGATGCAGAATCCACGATATGTTTTTCCACAATTCCGATCGTTAGAGCCGCATTGCTGCACGCAAACATGGCTTTACTTCTTTGTAGTACTCCTTATCAACTGTGCCACCTTTTCGCAGGAAGTAATTGATGCCCCACACCATTGAAATCAAAGAAACCAGTGAGAAAAATCTTCATATTCGATCGAACTTGGTACGCCTTTTTTCAGTCTGGGCTCCTCGGGCAGCTTCCATTGGGATTATTGGGCTTTGGTTTCGACCACGTAACTACACACTCATGTTTCGTCACCAGTTATGACCCGTTTGAGTAAGCCCGGATCGTCGTTGACGTCATTAAACAACTCCTGAGCGGTACTGATGCCACATTGATTTTGCTAAAAGTTCATCAATTCAGTACAAAAAATGTATGTATTTTATTTTCGTGAAATAATTCTTGAAAGTTATTTCGAGTAAAAACTTACACCTAACATTTCTTCTAAAAAATATTTTGATACACAAACAAATATTTTTTACACAGAATTCTAAGAATTCTAATAAATCGAGAATTTCATGAAAAAAAAAAAATTATTTTAAGTGTAATTTACTTACGTTTACTTGCGAAACTGAAAAATGGATTACCCTGTACATAAGCATAAGCACGATGGCACTATTAAAACTGCACATCTTCATACATACATAGGGACTTGATCGGTTCACATAAATTTGTATTATGCAATGCGATTTTTGTTATCTACCGTTATGTTTTGTCTTTTTCTCGCAGACATAACTGTGTTAGTTTTACAGTTATTACCTTTAAGCATGTGTGAAAAGTACACGTTGGAATAAATTCTCATTGGCAGTGCTGCAATATGCTCTCTCTCTGCACTTAGAGTTTGGCGCAAATGTACCTTTGTTACTACTATTACTGCTGTTATTACTGTTATTATTATTATTATCGTTTATTGAAATTGCTACATTCTAATTTTGGTAGTCAAAAATGTGCATAGGAATTAAAAAAAATAATTTCACACCATAAATGTACAAAAACAAATAAAAAATTTTATTTTTATTCAAATAAGCTTGCCTTACCCACACATATTTATGCACAGAGAAATACTCGTAGAGTTGCAAATTTCTAAATCCAATTTAATTTTATAAATATATTTGTATTCACTGTTAAAATTTAAACAAATACTTCCGTGCATAGATTTGTAATAAAAAATTATTATATCATAATTCGCATGTGAAATTAAAAAAAAAAATTAAAAAGCAACCTCGTGTTTTAAATATCGCAATTACTAACCGAAGTTGGCTGTGCCCATTAAGATATTAGGTCTAGCTTATATATATCTGTATGTACGTACACGTATTCCCCAAGTGAGAAGTGTGCCTTGTCACTGTAGAAAATTTTATTGGAAATATCGTTGTCCATTATTCGCTGTTGAAGTACTCGATTAACGTATCTGCGGCATTTTGAATGGTCAGTTGGCTTCAGTAGTTGAGTGAGCTGAACTTTATATGGATGCAGGTGTAGGTCCAAACGCAAAATACGCCAAAAAGCATCGTAAGAGAGTCTTAGCTCTTGAGAACGTCGAGAAATAATATATTAATTCGGATCTTCTCCCTGCCGGGGAAAACCAACTAGTAGGCAAAAATTTTAGTTAAATACTAATATTCCAAAGATGAAATCATTCCGTAATTTTCCTTATTCGTAAATAAGTCCACCAGTAACGGGAGAAATAATAATTTCCATCACCGTTTATCGTTATTATATCGGCACGCCGCGGCTGAATTTTATTCTCTGCTCTATTCTATTGCAGTGCTCAAAATAATGCCTATCGTTACATCGTCATGATAGCCGAGTGGTTAGAGATTATCGCTGTAGCGCGTTAGGAGTCCGGCGGGAGGCAAATGCATTCTTTTTATTAATTTTTGGTGAACCAGAAATTTTCACCACCCCGAGATTCATGTTGTTTTTGTTTTTAGTACGCTATTGCTAAGTTTAATTTTCTAAAAAGCTCTATTGAAGTGCGCTGATTTCGTGATTCTCTACAACATGACGATAGCGCGGTGGTTAGAGGTCTGCACTGCGATGTATTCGGTTCTCACAGCCGGCACAATCATTTTTAGTTTATTTATTTGTTTTTTTTTTTCAAGAAGTAGAAATTCAGCATGCCCAAATGAACTTGTATACTACTGGTATGAAGCTGATGCATAGTAGGATAATTGTCAACTCGTAGGACATCGCCGTGTTAAAAATACCAGTTGCTTACACGGAAAATGAATGAAGATGAACCAGTTGGTGTAAAAATGTAAACTAGTTGGATACTAATTGATAACTAGTATTTCCCCCTCCAGGGCAGTTATAATTTTAAGTAGAGTGGTGACATTTGAGGTGAAAAGCGCTAAACGATGATGTGCCGGCCTTAAAATAAATGTAACCGATCCAGTCTCCCCAAATTTCCTTACAATATTACCGATTGCTCGAATAGTAGAACGATTAAGTGCCCCGCAATCTCATCTCTTAAAGGACCACCATTTCTGTAGTAACATTTTTAACTAAAACTATAGTTTGGTTGGTCGGTTGATTGAAAGCGAAGGTTAAGAACCTGACGCCAAGTGGTGGCAATTAAGCCATTAAGAAGGCTCTTTGTGCTGTCCTGTATAATTCAACCTCGCTTTTGTGAAATTAAAGCCTTTCAAATGTTTTTTCTCTTTTCTGCCAATTCAACGGTACCTAGTATTTTAATATGATATTTCAGGAGTAGATGCGCAGTCAATACTTCAATACTTTCAGAATATCAACCTCCATTTTGCTTATTTAAAACAAAAGTTTGGTCTGTCCGCAATACACCAAGTCGTGTGCTTGTGGATCAATAGGGTTTTATAGCATTTCTGCGTGCTGAAAGGTTTGAAGTCAGGTTTGGTTAGGTTGCAGTGGCTGCCGATCCAACAAGTCGGACTCACCTAGGCCTGACAACAGACCCATTGTGATGAGATTTGAAGTAGGCGTCAGATTTTTAAGCTTTTAAAGTTCCAAATAAAAATGTTTTCATACATGTAATGTCGTTATTTGTGTAGTATTTAATGTCGATTTCCTCAAAGTCTTATTCTAAAGACTCAAAAATGGGGGCTTGTATGCCATATTAAAAAACTGTAGATCATATTAATTTATATATGTATATTTTTTTGATATTAAAAATCAGTAAGTCAATAAAGGATTATTTATTATTCCTAATAATTATTATTAATATTTTTATGCTCTAGAAAAGTGTGCAGTGAAATTTTTTTTCCGTAAAAAACACGTACACCTTTCCATACATACAAAGGAGAGAAAGAAGTTTGCTTTAGTTTTTTGAGTTTTTTTTATATATTTTTTTATTTTTCACAGTTGACTTCCTCGCCAAATTAGAGGTGAAACGGACATCGAATCTGGAGACCTATTTGCACACACTACACAAGGCGACTAATTACTCGCTGCGTGTTTTGGCCTATACAGCGACCGGTGATGGTGTGGCCAGTCAACCGTTATATTGTCAAACAGAGGATGATGTACCGGATGCGCCAGCAGCTATTAAAGCAGCAGCTTTAACGGCTGATTCGATATTGATTTCCTGGTTGCCGCCAAAAAATCGCAATGGCATAATTTCACATTACACGGTATATTCACGTGAGGCCGGACGCAAGGGACAAGCGAAATGTGAGTGTTTGCGAACAAGAGGAAAAAAAGAGAAACAAAAAAAAAAAAAACCAAAAAAAAAGGTAGTAGTTAGAAAAAGAAAGCAGGGCATTCCGAAAAATATCCCTGGTTATTAAAAAAATTTACAAATTTTTATAATAATATTTTTTTATTTAAAAAAATTATAATTTAAGCGTCTGAATAAATTCTTCTTAAAATCTACTTACGCCCATCAGCGCGTTAAAATTGATTATTAATTAAAAACCAAAAAACAGCTTTAAAATTATACTTATTTAAAGCGCTTTTTATGCGTGAACTTATTTAAAATAAAAATGTATACTGATTGAATAAAATAAAGTAATTATTTTTTTCAAAATTTAATTGATTTGACGCTTTTAAAAATAAATAGAAAAAAATTTAAAAAAATAACTTTTTTTTTCGTTTCTTCTTCTCACTCCTACTTGAATTGCCTTTCCAATGCTGCTTTTAATCACGCCCACGCACCTCCTACAAGCAGCTCATATGGTGCGAGTCGATGAGAATGGTTATCCGGTGACGTATGAAGCGCGCGGCCTTGCTGAAAATCAAATGTACGAATTCTGGGTATCCGCTTCGACTTCGGTTGGTGAGGGAGAACCAACATCTGTGGTTGCGCAGGCCACAAATACGCGCGGTAAGTGTGATGTACGAGTATGTGTGTGTATGTTTCGTATGACTGCCGGTCAGTCTGATTGATGGCTTTGTAGGCATTTTAATGCAGTAAAGCAACTGCAAGAGCCAGCAAGGCCAGGGGATATTTTAAATTAAAATTAACAGCAGGTTTAAAATATTATTACTCACTTACTTACGTACTTACACTACTTTATTGTTTGAAAAATTGCGAAAAGTCGAAATGTGCATTTAATGCGCTTTAATTCACAATCTGGCGGAGGGTAGGCGCAAAAAATCAACGCTCGCATGATTATTTTCACTTTTCATTTAATTACGCGCCAAAGGCTGAGCTGTTGTTTTTGCTGCTGTCTCTTCTTAGTTTTTGTTTTTGCATTTAATTAAATGACAGGTATGTGAAATCGAGATGGCTTTTAATTTTCACACTTAACCAAAATATAATTCAATTTCAATTTTCCTCGCCTTTGTTAACGAATTATGGGTACATACATACAGCCACAGGTTGTATCAACTATATATATTAGCAATATTGATACATATATGTATATTTATATAATCGGTTTACTATTTAAGGGCTCCTTTAACTTAAAGCAACTTTTCATTTTTTTTTTGTTTCTTTGTACTTCCAGCTCCCGCTCGCATCGCTTCTTTTGGTCAATTGGTCCGCAAAGCTGTTGGTACTTCGTTAATTTTGGAATGTCTAGCAGTGGGAAATCCAACGCCACGTGCTAGATGGTTAACTAGAGATCGTCCGGTCACATTCAGCCCTTTCTACGAGGTGACCAATGAGGGCAATTTGAAAATACACCGTAAGTAAAGGAGAAAAATATGCGTAATTTATAAAAGTGATTGAAAATTTCGCCTATTATACAATTGTTAATGAGTTCAAGATTAATCTAAGTTCCACAAATGTCTGTATATAAAACCTGAATTACTATAGAGATAGTGAATTAATATGGTAAACATACAGCGCAGCTATGGTTCATGTAGTAAAAATACGAGGTGTGACAATTAAGTAATGAGACTGATTATATTTCCGTGATTGTGGTAATCCTGCGACCTTGATTCTTCTCCCGGCATTCTTCTCCTCTCCATTGATATATTTACCATCGCTCTTGCTTGTTTAGTTCGCCTGCTCTGTCGACTTGAGTTAACGTGTGCTCGTGGTGCTCGTCACGATAATGGAAAAACGAAATTAAGATCAACGCGTCGCGATAAAATTTCACACCAAATTGATCGAGTTATTTTTCAATACGACCCGGAAACCAAACGCCAAAGCTCACAATGGTTGTCTCCGCATGTCACCCGTCCCAAAAAGAAAACTCGCATGTGCAAATCGAAACTGAAAAGGATGATTATTATTGCCTTTTTTGATAGCCCTGGAGTCGAGGCAAACCGTAAAACAAGTCTACTATTACCAAGTACTCAAAATTTTGCAAAAACGGGTCAAAAGGGTGCGACCAGACATCGCTCGTAACTAGATCCTTCATCATGACAACGTGCCACGCCGCCCTCAGCGTGTCCCAGTATTTGGCCTCTTAAGGGATCGCCGTGCTGCAATGACCGCCTTATTCGCCAGATATGTCGCCCTGTGACTTTTTTGTTCCCTAATACGAAATCGGTGTTCAAAGGAACATTTTTTGAGTCGACTGAGGACATCCATTCAGCCGTGACGAGGGTACTCGCGGACATTTCAGTCGAACCGTTGCATAAATGTTACGAAGCATGGAAAACGTGCTGGAATCGTTGTATAGCTGCCCAAGGGGACTACTTTGAAGGGGATGGTAGAGTTGTAGAATAATTTTGAAATATACGATTTTTTTGGAATCAGTCTCAATACTTATTTGTCACACCTCATTCAATTTAACCAAACAGCCCCTTTTCTATCTTGCAATGGTATATATGTACATCTTCTTCTTCTTTACTGGCGTAGATGCCGCTTATATGATTATAGCCGAATTTATAACACGGCACCATTCAATACTTTCTTTTGCTGTTTGGCGGCAATTGGGGATTCCAAATTTAGCCAGGTCCTTCTCAACCTGATTTTTCTAATTGAGTGGATGTATTACTGTTTCTCTGCTTCCACCGGCGTGTACTACGTCGATAACTTTCTGAGCTGGAATACTTTTATCCATCTGGACCACAGTTGTAACCAGCTGTTTCTTAATTCTCTGAACAATGTCCAGGTCGTCTTATATTTCTTACAACTCATAATTCCATCGGCTGCGGTATTCGCTGTTATCAAATCGTAGAGAACTGTAAATCTTAACGGCATGAAACCAAAATTGTGCATGGTTGACGGTAACACGACTATAAACGCTATTCACATTTTCAGTCGCCTAGCTTGCGTTTTCGCCCTTATTGAAGAACAACCGTTAAATATAGCGTATTTCTCTTTGCTAGTGTTCATTTTTGACGCAAGCTCAAACAAAAATGAATCAACCAATCACAAAACTATCAGAAAAGTTTTTTTTTTGCACGAAATGTCATCTTTCTAAGCGGAACCCGATCGAATTTATGCAACACGAGATACAGATAAATAAGATCATCTATTAGAAATATAATGGATTTGTTTTTACTTCCCCTATAGATCTAAATTTCAAAATTAAATGAGCGTAAATCCAATTTCTCAACACGGGAAATGTTAATGGGCTTTTGAAAATATGTAAAATGTGCTTACTTATCGGCATTTGAACACCGACAGCCAATAGACCCACTCGAAATTTGAATACTTGATTGTTTTCATGCAAATTCCGTGCCGAAAATACTTGTTTAATATATTCAAAACTAATAACCTTTCAGTTTTGTAAATTAAAACCCGTTAAAAGCCATCAAGTGCTCTTCAATTTAATTTGTTATGTCGACAATGCGCTTACTTCCGCCCGTTTACGCTGCCAAGCCACTGCGGCGGTGGCCAACAAACCAACTGATAGAAATGTGGGCAGATAGATACTCTTATGCATATTTTTGGTTAGTCGAGCAGACACGGACGCGCACACGAACGCGCGCACGGACGCTCCACTCACTCAGCTGGGCAAAATACCGTGTCGAATTCCAATTATCTGAAAAATAAAAATGTAATTTTCCATGCAACTGCACTTACGTTTGTATATACACATTTACATACATACACACTCGTACATTGTCCATATTTTCAATCTTTTCTATTTTAATTTATTTTTCATTGCACGTCACAACTACAACCACAACGCAACGGCGGCCAACAAACTAACAAACAATCAAACAAATATTAACAAATAATCCTACATACACACACGTGTCACACATACGTGTATATATGCGCTTGTTGGCTGGTCAAATTGTCTGACCATCGATACACTGTTGCTGTTGATGTTGCTGTTGCCGTCGCTGGTCAACACAGGCGTAGAAGGCAGTCTGTCCGGAAATTACACTTGCACGGCGAATAATCTATTCGGAAGCGATGAGATTCAATATCAAGTGATTGCCATGAAGCCACCCGCTGCGCCACAAATCATTGTACAATATGCATCAGCCGATAGTATACGTGTCAGCTGGGATCCACCGGACGATGGTGGTGCCCCCTTGCAGGGTTATAGCATTTCGTATCGCATCACAGGCGAAACGTGGGCACAAACCGAGCTGATGCCGGAGAATAATGCTTATACGATAACGGGTTTGAAGTGCGGCAATCAGTATATCATCAAGATGTCGGCGCATAATATTGTTGGCGATGGTGTTTCGAGTGAGGAAATTAACGTCTGGACCAAGGGCAAAGGTAAGCGAACATGAAAGGAGCATACATTGACTATGTACGTGTGTGCTAGAGGAGCATGGGTAAAGTGCGATGACTTAAATGATTGAGTCACTTGGCAATGGTGGTGAGTAATGGTTGCATGAACGAATATTGGGGTAATTTTATATAAAGATGTATATATACATTTTCTTACATCGCATTTTTAGCAACAGTTAATTTTTAGGAGCGTAAGAGAGCTTTATTTTATACTTATTTGTTAATATTGGCTCATTTGGTTGCCTTTTGTTTTTCCATACAATTATCTTCACTCGTTAATTTCTTATGTATTCCTCTTTTTTGCTTGCAGCCTCTCAGGCGCCTAACGGTAATGAGCTGATCGCTACAAATGCGTCTTGCGTGAATTTAAAGCTATCAACATGGAATAATGGTGGCTGCCCCATTCATCATTTCTCCATTGAACATCGACCGTTGGGTAAGTGAATTGGACAGTTCATGTCATATCTAACTGTTGTTGAGTTGTGGCAAGCACTAATAGTCATATCAAACATACTTTTTTATGTATGCGACAAAGGTATTGAATATGTTAATGGGACCTGACTAAATTATTAAGTGTCGCTTACTTAAGGCCATGGATTAAAAGGGCAAGCTCCTTAGCTAAAAAAAAATCAATGTTTTTGACCAAATAAACAATGAATGTCATGTCATTTATGTCAAGGGGCGCTCAAGATTAGGAAACATAATTTTCTATAATTTCCCTGCAGGTGAGAATATTAGCTGTCAACTAGAAACCAAATAGCTTACATATTTCCACCAACTAGTTTATCTTCCTTCCATTTTCCATGGCCAACTGCTATTGTATTGGTGACAATTGTCATACTATGCATCAGCTTCATACTAGTTGTATACTAGTTAAATGTTAAGTTTCTACTTCACCACTAAAAAAAAAAACGAATGAATAAAATAAAAATGAGATTGCGGGCTGCAAGAATCGAACCGAGATCCTCACGCCCCAAAGTGAAGGCCTCTGACCACTAGGCTATCGTTGTGATGCACTCAGAGACCCAGCCGTGGCGTACTAAAAACAACAAAATACGAATAACGAAGTGTTGAATACTTCCAATTCACCAAAAATTAAAAAAAAAATATAAAATAAAAATAAAAAATTAATTTGTTTCTAGTGACAGTCGAACCAGGAGACTAACTCTCTACAGCGCTATCCTCTAACCTTTAGTCAGTGGGCTGCCAAAATGATATAACGATAAACGTTATTTTGAGCAATTCAATAGAAAAAAGGAGATAATGGATTTTAGCCGAAGTGTGCCGATATAACAGCAACTAAATTCGAAATTTTTATTCCACCCGTTACTGGAGGACTTCTTTACAAATAACGAACTGGTATAATTTCGTCTTTAAAATACCAGTATTTAACTATTTGGTTTTTCTCAGCAGGGTTAGAATAGGGGTCAAGCAGTGCTCAAACACTAACCTTCCGAATAGTAGTACACACTTCTAACCCCTCAGACATTGCATTAGTTATTTTCTTGCCCCAAAAACTCAGCCTTAGTCTTATTTGAAAAGCTCTGCTGTAAGACGGTTACGCTCCAGGTATATGAATTCAGACGGGTTTTAAATTTCGAAGCTGCAAGTATAACGATTAAAGCTTCAAAGTTTTTTCCCTATCACAGATACAACTGGGCTGGTTAATTTAAGGCAGTAAAAATTATATTTAGAGAAAATAGAGCTGAGTTTTCGGTAAAACTGTTCGCTTGAAGGTTTTCTGGTGAAGATTATTTAGTAGGTTCAGAATCACCAAAGCCTTATTTTCTTGATGCTTCTGCGAGTTAACAACAAGATAAATAACAGTCTTAGCTAGCAACTCAGAACTAGATTTCAGGCTAGAATTTTTCTGTTGGAATTTTTTTTACCTTAAGCGTGAGTTGTATTCCTAACACCTTTAAGTTGAGATAGTAGAATATGGATTAGCACTGAATTAGTGTTTCACCAATGAAAATCGGTCTCATATACATACATATCTCAATGAGCCCACGCGCTAATGTAAGCATGGGTTATTATACGAGTACATGGCAGGAAGCGAAACATGCTGCTGAATTAAACAGATCGTAATCCGCATAAACAGAGATTATATGATTTTTATTTTATCTTACATGTCCTTACAACATATATATATATTATTCAATTACATTACATTCATATACATTTGTATGTACGTATGTATGTATACTATATGTCTATGCGTATATGCCGAACTCATGTTTTTGCATTGATTGGAGAATCGCCACACGATTGCGGTTTACACGTGAACTGCTTTGTACGCAAAATTTTGTAATTGAATATTTTTGTCACCAGCTTTTGACATTCAGCCCTAACTGAGCAAAATAACGAATAACAATAATAACAAAAGCATTGAATGAAGTACAATTTATTTACATATATATATATTAAAAATATATGTTTCTTTAATTGAAAAATT